TTGTATTATCATAACAATACTCTAATTGATATTTTTATTAGGGGGTGGTCACGGTGGTGAAGTAGGTGGAAATATTGGTGGTTTACTATCCACACAACCAGCACCAGAATATTGGTGTTCAGTTGGTTACTTTGAATTGGATACGCAAGTAGGTGAAACGTTTAAAGTAAGCAGCGGTTGCCCTACTGTAACAGTCGATGGTTACGTGGATCCAAGTGGTGGTAATAGATTTTGTTTAGGAGCTTTGAGCAACGTCCACAGAACAGAGCAAAGTGAAAAAGCTCGTCTTCACATAGGTATAATAAATTATTTTTGTTTTCCTGTTTTTTCTTTCCCTTTTTTTTTTCTTTTTTTTTTTGTTTAATTTATAATTGTAATAATCAATAATTGTATTATTATGAACTTTTTAGGAAAAGGAGTTGTATTAGATTTAAGGGGCGAAGGGGATGTTTGGTTAAGATGCCAAAGTGAACATAGTGTCTTTGTACAGTCTTATTATTTAGACAGAGAAGCAGGTCGTGCACCCGGGGATGCTGTGCATAAAATTTATCCCTCTGCATATATTAAAGTCTTCGATTTACGGCAATGTCATAAGCAAATGAGAGGACAAGCTGCTACTGCTCAAGCTGCAGCTGCAGCACAAGCTGCAGCTGTAGCAGGACACCTAACACATGGAGCACCAATTACTAAAAGTTAGAATAATACGTGTTTATTAGTTATTATACAAATTATTTGTGTTGTAAATGCAATTTCTTTTTTTAATTTTATAACAGGTCTTAGTGCAGCAGCTGGAATAGGTGTAGATGATCTGCGGCGTCTTTGCATTTTGCGTCTAAGTTTTGTAAAGGGTTGGGGTCCTGATTATCCTCGACAAAGTATAAAAGAAACTCCATGCTGGATAGAGGTATATACATATTACAACGTTATGTCAGTTGTAAATTATTATTTGAAGAATTAAATAATATTAAATTTCTGTAACTAATATAGGTGCATCTACATCGAGCTCTTCAATTACTGGATGAAGTTTTACATACTATGCCAATAGATGGTCCACGGGGAATTGAATAATTTTATTTAATTTTGGAGAATACATATATTACATAAAAGACATCACATTACTACAAACTCTGCATCAGGTGTGCAAAATGTATAAAATGCATACATATATAATACTTTGTAGTATTGTTAAAGATTTTGAGAAAAATCAACAAAAAATTGTTGGTTTAAGTGAAATAGTGTGAAGTTTAAATCCAGAAGAAAACAGAATTGTTCGAGATTTTTATTGAAATTTTTTATATATTTTACACACATGATTTACTGCGTAGAATAAAATGTGTGCCACGGCCTTGCATAACCGTCAGCGTACAAATGTTTTGCAAAGGAGATATTATTTTTCTTTATGAAGAATTATTTTTTAAGAAAAAAGAAGTGCACCTACAAGAAGTGAAGGTAGGATGAAAAATTACTATTTTAATAGGCACTCGTTATCTGATTTAAAGGGAAAGATACACTTTCTATGGCATGGCCTGGTGAGCTCAGCAAAATGCGTGGGTAAAACGTGATACTTTCGGAAACATTAATAGTCATAATCTCGTTTTTTGAGATTAGCTTTGTAAGATAGCATAACCAACGTACATCCTACTTAAAGATTGATGATAAGTTTTAAATTCACTGTTTACGTCAAATATAATAACAGTAAAAGAATGGATTATATATGTGCACAGTAGGAAGGTTTTCTAAGAATGCAATATGTTTCAAAGTACTGTCGGATGACAGCTTTAGTATGTAGAAACATAGCGATAAATATTATATAAGCTATTCTATAAATCTATAGTGTCAAAGAAGCCATAGTATATAACCAGAAAAAATTTAATGAAAGGTGTTTGCATAGTGAAACGTTAATGGGAGCAATTAAATACTGAAGAAATTGCATTAGGAAAGGATATTTTTATTATATCTGTATTGGTTGTACTGACAGTAGTTTGATACTATGTTGTTAGAACAACCTTCTATATTGTCATCTGTTTTATACTTTACAACCAAAAAATATCACTACGTAAATACCTGCAGTGTTTGATTTGTAATGATGTTTCATGTCTCCTCTTTTTTACTATTACTTTTCCTGTAAGGACATGAATTAATTCGATAGTTAGTATTATTATAATTATAAATATAGTTGGTGGTAAGACAAGATGAAGACATCTAAAGTGTAGTATGATCTTGTGCTTAAAAAGTTGAGCAAGAACTGATCATAATTTTATGTAAACTTCATTTTAAATGTCTCCCTTCTAATCAACCACCAGTGTTACTACTATTATCATGTAGTACTTGTTGAATAATTATACTTACTGTTTACCAACCATTTTATTATTCTATATTCGTACAAAATATTCTTATATATATGCTATATTTGATAATATTATCATACAGAGAAAAAGTTGACCAAATTTTATACCTATCCGTATATATATATACATACATGAGCGCATATGTATATGTACACATACCGACATTTTATCTTCATTTATATATATATAAAGAGAAAAGTTTACCGCTTGTTTTTATTAATTGGTGCACATTATAGTATTTTGAACTTTTGCTTCTTTGTTGTAATTGAGTAGAGATTATTTAGCTGTTTGTGTTCATGTTGTTCTTATATTTTTTATGTTATACTTAATCAAGATCAGTCTTGATATAAGAACGAGTAGAATTTTGTACATATAAGCACGTGTATGCGCATTGTGTTGCAAGTAAAGAATGGGTTATTCTTAATTAAGCAAGTATTGAGTTATTGTGAAATGTTTTACTCTTATTATATAAAGTAACATATTATCTTGTGTGACAAAAACAAGGTTGAAAAGAGGTAGTCTATTAACATCATTAAAAACACATTTTAAAGAGGAAAAGGGAAAGA